ACGAAATCGTTTTGACAGTTTTGAGCCATTGTGGTCACAAAAATTGTGGCCCTCAAACATTTTCTTTTATTTTTGATGAAATTTAACAAGGGAAATTCTAATATATACCCTTTAAAAATGGTGTACTAGATGCATCCCTAATTATACTATTTTCTTATTTAATTATGATTAATTTTCTTCTTTAGTTATGACTAATGTTGTGTTTAGTTATGATTTATTTATTTATTTATTATTTTTATAATTATAACTTAGAAAATTAAAATTATGTCATTTTTCTTTTTAATTATAAGGTACGTATGGTGCACAACATTTGAGAGCTAGAGCAAGATACAAGATGGTGTTACCATCGTTGTCTTCAGAGTCAACAAACTCAATCTCGTTTCTGCTTCGTATTTCATTCAACGAATGTCCTCAAAGTGCAATACAATTTTTCCTCCGTCGAGTTTCTCATAAATTGACTTAAGCCGGGCCTGAGTTAATAGTTTTATGACCTCAACTCGCTTTTTCATGGCTAGCCAGTGGAGAGAGGTTCTGCCATCTTAGTCATAAAGCCTCAAAAGCACTTGAACGATCTCAAGGCGGCCCTCGGCGGAAGCCAGGTGGAGAAGCTAGCACTGAAGTGAGTCGAGATCGATACTACATTGGGATTTTCGACACAGAATCACTCTTGTAATGCCCTGAAAAAAAATACAATAATTCAACCGCAAAGACTAGTGCAAAAGGACGTAACCAGAATAATAGGTTTTCATTAATCAGAGTTGATTTACAAACATGACGCATGCGATATACATTCATAAGCTCTACCCTGAATCTATAGCATGCGGTACCAACAAAATGATCAACAAAGTAAATGCCCTACGGGCTTACAGCTTTCCAAGTCATTCATTGGTTACAACAAAATGAGTGTAGCTCAATACAGTTAAAACCCTTGGCTATACAAATTAAATACAACAAAAGGAAACTTTTGTTCCAAAGCCCCTCCAAGCTATTGCCTTGGCGGAGGCATGTCACCAACACATGAAAATGGTTTTTCTCAAATAGGGTGAGCCAAAGCCCAGTAGAAATAGTCTAACACAATATATGAATCTTAACAAAGATATAAGTACAACGTGCATATATAATGCCTGTGACAAAACATTCAGATACTATATGATCATAAGGTATCAAATTTTATATCTCAATCCATTTTCCTTCAATTCATTTCAAGTTAATTCATTTCATCTCAATTCATGAGCTAGTCCCATTATTTTTCAGACAATCCAACTGAGGCTACAACTCAGTGGTTCTCAAATTAACATAATTATCATACCAACACTTCAATTTGCCATTTTAAGAAAATTTCGTCCGCCGGATCGGCACCCATGTATATGCGCGGTTTTGTGACTTTCGCCCTGGACACACAGGCTAGCTTAATTTCAATGGAGTCCATCCCCTATATCCTCCTAAACATAGCGTACATCCCCTTTCTTCTCCCAAACATCATACATATACAATGTATTTAAAGCATAGTCATATTCAATGACAACCAACAAGATATTAGTTTCAATTCATCTAATCCTCATGCAATTTCTACAACAATCATAGCTATCCTCCACCGATAGCCCAATATAGATATTTCTAAATAGATATTCAATCTCAAGAGAGATAATTTATTCAAAATTCCATAGGTGAGAGATAATACATATTTAGCTTCACCATTTATCTATGTATCTAACCAATTTCACATTCACAATACCAATTCTATTCATTCATACAAAATAACTATTGGGACCATTCTAGGGCAAACTCCCCATTTCCCCAAATATCACTCCAAGTGCCAAAATTAACCATTTTGCCACCATACAACCTTATATTTAACCCCATAACCATTTTCACAACATATACATGAAAACCCTCCCTTTTTATTTCACACCGAAACCCTAGGTTTGTCCATAATATACCCAAAGCCCACCATAGTTACACAACCACCAATAACTATGTTAAAAACCATAAGAATGTGTAGAAAATCCCTACCTCAAGTGTAGAAGCCTAAAGGAGAAGTGGAGAAACTTCGAAAACGTCGAAACCAAACTCTATTCGGATGTAATGGTAGCCCTTGAGATGCTTTACCTATTTATCAAAGGGAGTAGGGTAGAGAGATCCTTATATCCTAGTGGATTTGTAGAGAGAAATCGGATTTTAGAGAGAGAGGAAGTTGGTCTAGGGTTTTTGAGTGAAAAGATATCAAAAAGTGATGTAAAAAGGTGCTGTTGCGAACTGATATACGTGAGGCTCGCTCAAGCGCAAGAGTTGTCGCTCAAGCAACCAGACACAATAAGTGGCCTCGTTCAAGTGTAGAATACATACTCCTAGAAGTTTTACAGACATATACCGTCGCTCGAGCGCAAGAAGCTTCGCTCGAGTGAAGAACACTACCCTCTTTGTATCTCTGCAGGCCTGCAAAAGCATTGGGAGCTCATAAAGCTCGCTCGAGCGTAAGAAGCCTTGCTCGAGCGAGGAAGCAAATTTCTAGAGAACAACAATTGGACCAATTAGCAACCAACCTGTTCCAAACATGCCCAAGACACTCTAATACTCAAACTCAAAAGGGAAATGAGGGAAAGAGACATGAATAACAATATTAAACCACGAAACCCAAGTCCGGAATACAACAAAGGTCGGGTCAAAATCGAAATCGCTATAATCTCCCCTTTTAAGGAATTTCGTCCCCGAAATTTCAATACAAGTGCAAAACCATTGTCAAACTATTTCCAACTATGATAATCTATCAATTTCAATCACCATGACCTATTTTCCGGTCATCCATTCTTATTAACTCGATACACAAGTTCGACATTGAAGTACAATTCATACATTTCTAAAACATTTACAATGTTTATGATAAACCCAAATTTCCCAAAATTTACACAATATATACAATGTTTCCAAAAGTGATACAACACATACAATATTCCATATTCTCAAAACATATACAATGTTTTTACATTTCATTAACATAATCAAAATCTCAACATATGTTCAATATCAATAAATAAGTTCGAATATTTCTCATGGACTTTTAATTCACATTCCCAAGTTGCTTCCTCAACCCTGTGATGTTTCCACAATACTTTGACCAAGGGAATTGTCTTGCTCACCGGTCTCTCCTCATACGAGGCATCCTCATCCACCTCTAAGTTGGTCTAATCCAACACGTGCGATGGATCCGGCTCATACTTCCGAAGTATGCTAATATGCAACACATCATGAACCCCGAAAAGCTGTGGCGGCAACGCCAAATGGTAAGCTACCTCTCCAATCCGCTTAAGAATCTCAAAAGGCCCAATAAATCAAGGGGACAACTTCCCACTCTTCCCAAATCTCATCAAACCCTGCCTAGGTGATATCTTCAAAAGACATGATCTCCTACCTTAAAAGACAAGGGTCTCCTCCTACGATTAACGTAACTTTTCTGACGGCTTTGAGCCCTAACCAACCTCTTACGGATAAGTGCCACTTTTTTGTTGTTTCCCAAACCAACTTTGGACCCAACAAAGGTGTATCACCCACCTTGGCCCAACACATAGGGGACCTACATGGTCGGCTATACAAGGCCTCAAATGGTGCTATGCCAATACTCGATTAAAAACTATTGTTATAGGCAAACTCCACTAAGGGCAAATGCCTCTTCCACGGCCCCTTAAAGTCAAGGACACAACCTTAAAGCATATCCTCAAGGATCCAAATAGTACGTTTGGACTGCCCGTCAGTCTGAGGATGGAACGCATTGCTAAAGGTCAATCTAGTGCCTAAGGCACTTTGCAAGCTCTGTCACAACTGAGTTGTGAAACTCGGATCTCTATCCGAAACAATCGTCACAGGGACCTCGTGTAATCTCACTATGTCCCTAATGTAAAGGTCAACAAGATAGTCTACCGAATCACTCACATGCATAGGTATAAAATGCGCCGACTTGGTCAACTGGTCAACTACCACCCAAATGGCATCACTGTCCTGTTGAGTTCTAGGAAGGCCCACAATAAAATCCATCGTAACATGCTCCCACACTACAAGAATCTGCACTTTTAGCGACCACTTTCTGCGACCAATATAAAAGTTGGTAGCTAAAACTTACATTTTGGCGACCAAATATTAATTAGTCGTGAATGATCATTATTTTTGGCGACCAATATGAGTTGGTCGCAGAAAGTCATATTTTAGCGACCAAAAAATGAGTTGGTCGCAGAAAGTGGTATGGTTTTGGCGACCAACTACAAATTTGGTCGCGGACAGTCACATTTTGGCGATCAAAAAATAAGTTGGTCGCGGAAGATCAAAAATAAGTTGGTTGTGGAATTGGCGACCAAAATTTTGGTCGTCCAAAAACTTATTTTTAGCGACAAAAAATATTTTAGTTGCCGTATGTTGAGTTTTGGCTACTAGAACAATGTAGTCGCCGAATGGAAAATAAAATTAAAATATTTGTCAAAAAAAATTAAATTTATGTCAAAATTTTAAAATTAAAATTATTTGATATTAATATTTGTCAAAATCAAAATTAAATTTATGTCAAAAAATTAAAATATTTGAAGGTACACATTTCAAATTTAGGAGGATTTATAAAATTACAACTCCCTCTCTTTCCATGATTTATAAAATTACAAATTTTGGAGGATTTGGAGGGACACATGTTATCCCCCTTATTTTGGAGGGATCTTTGAACTCGCTCATCCCTCTCTCTCGTCCCTCTCTCTCATCCCTGTAAAGAAACCAGAGCTGCGATTGAACCCTTGAAAACTTTCTCTCGCTCATCCCTCTGTCTCATCCCTGTAAAGAAATTGGAGCTGTGATTGAACTCTTCAAAACTTTCTCTTGCTCATCCCTCTCGTCTCTGTGTTAGGTGGAGAAGTTGGAGCCGATTAAACTCTTCAAAACCCTCTCACTCATCCCACTCGTCTTTGTGTTGTGTAGACAAGCTAGAGTTGACTCCTCTCATACGCTAAAAACGGCGGCCATAAACTCCTGTAACGACGGCGGAAACTCCTCAGGTAAAACCAAGATTGCAAAACTAGGGTATGCATTTTGCCTTTAATTGCTATTAGGGTTACGATTATTAGGGTTACGATTTTGCCATCAATTTTCTGTTACGAGTTGTATTTTGCCTTGAAGATTCTATTGCGATTGATTTGAAATTTTTTTGGGGGCTTATGAATTAAATTAAGGATTGTGTGTTTGATTTGACACTTGGATTCTAAATTAAGGATTGTGTGTTTGATTTGAGACTTTGATTCTATTAATGAACATTCTATGAATTTAGGATTGTTGTTTTTTTTGAGTCAAAGTTAGGATTGTGATTCTATGAAATTAAACAATGACTGATATATTGGTTAGATCTTTCAATGCATATGGCGTTGATTTTTGTTCAAGATTACTACACTATTTGAACATTATTTTTGGAACTAAGATTACTTAAGTTGGAACTAAGATCATTGATTAATAGAGTGAAAATAAAACTGTAAATTTCGAAATTCCCAAACTCTGTCAATGTCTTAATGAAGAAAGAAAATAGTTGCTGATATTAGGACTTTGAATGCAGTTTGTTGCGAAAATGTTGTTCTCGCTTCATTCATATGAATAACGATTTTTACGGATAGCCAACCTTTCAGGCTCTCAGCTTATAGCGATTTAGCACAGTCGCAGTTAATTATTTGGAATTTCACTTAATTGATGAACTCTTGTACACCGCAAGATGGTTATTTTCTAGATTTCTTCTTCTGACTTGTGCATTGAGGATCGGAATGTAGCCTTAGCTTAGTGAGCATTGCAGTGAAATGTCATGGCTAAATTAACCTACTATCATTCACAAAAAAATATATATATATACACCACAAAAGTTATGCTCACATAGTTATTCATTCTTGCTTTTGGTGACTGATTTAGTTTTACTGTTTCAGCCTAACAATCTACAGTTTGTATCAAATTGCAGCATACAAAATGTGAATGGGGCTCTGGTTTTATTCCCATTGCCGAGTATGGAACTGAGTTTCATAAGGGTTCAAGAAAAGGAAAATCAGGGAAAGTTGTGAGGCTTGTGTATGGTGGCCTTGCGCTTGTGCTTCATTATTGTAAGCATATTTAAATGGATCTTTCCTACCTATATATTTTCATTGTGGACCTTCAAACTGGTTGATCAAACATAAACTGCTGTATAGGAGTTTTGGACAGTTCTTCAACATGATCATGGGATTAGTTTTGGGGGGCCATGACTTGAAACACATACAACTGAATTCCATTGGGTGGATAATTGTAAAAGAGAAATGTTTTAGTTGTGGACAAGTAACAAATTTTTTTTCTTTTAGTTTTGGTGCGGGGAAATTGATTAGATTTATCTCACATTTGTCTTCTTTTCATGTTAACATTAGGAATGGTGTGAAAACAAATGGAATTCTCTCTACTGTTTGGCCGTATTGCTCGCCATGCAGCACTTGAGGAAGAGGTATGCTTTTGAACTCTAAAGTAGATATCATTTAAATTATTTGATATTCTCAGCTTATCCAGAAAAATATAAAATTCTTTCATGTGAGCATACTTTTTGTTGACAGTAACTATCAAAATTCTTATCTATGCTTTTATGAGGTTTAGTGCTCATTTGTTGGGAGTTCAACATCCTTGTAAAACCAAACTGAAACTGGGGACAGTCTTCTCTGGTACTGAATTTCATATTTTAAGTTAATACTCTATGTGGCTACTTAAAAAAGTCAAGGAAGTTTTGAACTTATCATCAATCCAGTTCTAGTCCACTTTACTCTCAAGACTATTGTCACCAGTCACCACTAACGTATTTAAAGTGAATAAATTTAGTTGAATTTGTTAATCACTGGTTAAGGAAAAATTGCCTTCGTGATTACATAAAATGCTTTGAATTTAAAAAAAGAACAGTCACAATCATCCATTCATGCTTTTAGAATTTTAGGTCGAGGTAAAATATTTTTATAGTTTATTGTTTTTTCTATTCTGTCATTGACCTGGTATATAATCTGCAATGACCTGGTGAGCAGCAGCAGCATTGGTTTGGCCCTGGCTCTTGTTCTACTGTAGTGTGCTTTTGGTGCTTAGTATGAAATGTGAAATGTTTGATTTGTGCATAACAACCAAATTAATGTTTCAAGTAATTATTTTATTTTTTTAACTTTTCATTTTATGTCAAAATTAACCCTCATCTCCCCTTCAAAATACATTTTGAAGTAATCTTCGTGTAACTATTATGGTCTTCTATCAATCTCTTTCATGTCTATTTTTGATTCAATTGTGTTTGATCATCAATTTGATTTTAAATTTCTTGTTGGGTTTGTACTATTTTAATGATTTGAGGTAAATCTAGGATTAATAGAATGAGACACTTTAAATGATAGATATTTTATGAACTGTGATACATTTTGTCATTGATGATTCATGCAAGTATTGAATTGTTAGGGCAATAAATGGTTTCAAATTTGGTTGGGTTTTGGTATGTATGGTGTGGCCTGCTTAGATGCAACTTGTGTGACATTTTTTCTCTTTTATTTGTAAAATATTGTGGGGAAATTGTGTTGGGTGCATGTGAATGTTTGAAAAAGGTAGATGTGAAATAGTTTTTAATAATTACAATAAAAGACTTGTTACTTGAATTTTTGTCTGAATTTTCATAAACATCTACAAACTCTAGTATAAATTTTTTTTTATTCACTTTATAGTTGAGGAAAAAATTGTGTTGTGGGTCATAATATTTCATTCAGGTGATGCTTGATATTTGGGTTGGGGAAGTTGTTTGAGCAGATCAGAATTCTTCCACTTTTCTGTGATGCAGTAAGGTTGGTATGCTTTTCCATCCTGGGATTTTGACTGAGATAGAAACCAGCTGTAATTTGGTGTTTTTGGTATACCTTTGTTACACTTGCATTCCAGGTTCCACACACATACATGTAATTTGGTGTTTATGTTGACTAGTATAGAAACTTCAAACATTGTAATGTTCCACTGATCCATGGATGACTAGTTAAACAAGAATTTTTTACTGTTCCATGGAAACCAAAATGTGATAGAGAAGGCAAAAACGAGCCGGTTGGGGCAAAAAGTTGGAAATAGCCTGGAAACAACCCGAGATCGTAGTGGTCACCTCGGCCTAGATCAAACAAACTTGTGAAAGCAAGCAATGCTTCGATAGGACGCATTATTAGTTATGTAGGACATAAAAGTGTGACAATGTAGGCAAAACGGGAGCGTTTGGGGTCCAAAACTGCTCTGAATTAGCTCCTCTCTATTTCTTTTTTTTCCTTATTTTCTCTTCCTTTGGTGGTCTGCATGGTGAAGTATTGCATCAGTCATGAAGGTGGACTGATCTGGAGCAATTCTGCTGGTCTGCATCAGATCTGTCTGGATGCTTGTGGTGGTGTGCTCCAGATCAATTCTGGTGGTGTGCTCCAGATCTATGGTGGTCTGCTCCAGATCTGTGGTGGTCTGCTTCAGATCTGTGATGCTTGTGGTGGTCTGCAGCAGATCAAATCTGGTGGTCTGCTCCAGATCTGTCTTGCTTTTTCCTCATCTGTCAATCATCCTCATCTGTCTGGATGGTCATCCTGATCAGTCTGGATGCTTGTTTTTGGAGTAAACCGGTGGTCTATATTGTGAAATTAGAAATTTTCACAATTTTTGTAAGAAAAAATGTCGAATTTCACAATTTCTCAAATTGAGAAACTAAAAAAATTACAATGCTTAAGAAACTGCAAAAGTGCACACTTTCTGTATAGAAATTGAGAAACTTCTTGATTTTTAAATATTGTGAAATTTCTAAATTTCAAATGCTACACATTAGAAACTCTCCCAGAAAAAAGTGCACAAATCATCATCATGGATTGTAGGCCTTATTCAAGATAATATAGTATTGAGAACACCATACATTTTGTTGTATGAAAATGTTAGTGTTTGTATTTATTTTGATGGAATATGATCTTCAGGTGGTGATGTCAAATGACATCGTTATAGAAGAAAGAATACAAATTAATAGTCAACTATATATGGTGGTGACTATCAACACCAATTCATAGTTTGTATTTATAGGTGACACTCAACTATCAATACAAAGTATTAATGATCGATGTATCAAATTTATTAGAGAGCTGCTATATGTTATTTGCTTGTTTTAAACATTTTTTTTATATCACTGATCAATACATGCATGATAAATATAAAGTAATATATTAGTATTTGCTTTTTCTAATACTTATCTCTAAATAAAAACGATTAGAAATAAAACTACCCAATAGTCACAAACTTAACTTTTTTGCAAGTATAAAAAGTTCCGTTTTACAAGTAGACTGCCTACGTCCCCTTTGAGGAGTGAATTGGTTTGGTTAATCAATCGAACAGCCTCTGGGCAGTCAAGTGCCACACCCCTTATCCGATCTTTCGGCATTGGCATCTCCCTTTGCATCAGTTCCGATATTGCCATGTAATGAAACATGTTCATCATCTATTCATTCATTATTTATCAATCTAGATATATAGGTTACCAAAATAGGAGTTTAATTTAATTCACATGAAAGATTCATTGAGGAAGATAGGAGTTATTGACAATATGGATCAATTTTAGTTGCCGTGTTTGGTTTCTGTTGTGTGGCACTATATTGGATCTGGAATGGTGGCTGATCCAAATTATTCTATAGACATAAGAATGCTATTGTTTTATTTACAATTTGATAATGGTAGTCATTTAATTTGCTAATGTGACCTTTGCTTTTCATGGACATTTTTCATTATTTGTCCAATTTTAACTGACATTATTTATCTTTTTCTTTGGTACAGATGGATGAACTCGTGCACAAAGCTAAATTGTACAGGACAAATTGGCACTTTTTGCATTTTTGGAAGGATTATATATTTTTGTATAGATGTATATGGAAAATATTAGGGTAGACTAGTAGTTATATTTTTGGATACACTACTAGTTATATTTTTGGATGGGTGTGTATAGAAAATATTTGTAGACTACTAGTTATATTTTTCGGTTGATGTACATGGATAAAAATTTTAAACATAATAACAAGTATTTGTTATGTCTTAAATTTTTATGCTAGATGAAATATGTAGTTTGGAATTACTTGTGGATGAAAACTTATAATAGTTGCTGACTTTAATTAAACAGGTTTAGAAATGGTTGATATATGTATTTTGTTGAATGTTGATGATTCAACTTATTTGTTGGTTTGAATGATTTCTTCTTTTTACAGATTATATTGAATAAATTGGATGGATTATTATAAATTACAGGTTTATTTTGTTGGATGTTGGCGACCAAAATTTGGTTTGGTTTTATTTTTCTAGTTTTGGCAACCAATTGATTAGTCGAGAAAGAAAAGTTATACTTTTGCCGACTAAATAAAGTAGTCGGCGTATCACAAAGCACATTTGGCAACTAAATAATTAGTCGTTAAAATTATTAATTTTGGCAACTAAAGGATTTGGTCGCGAATAGGTCTATTGTGGCGACCAAAATTTTTGGTCGCGAAATGTCACAATTGGCGACCAAAATTTTTTGTCGTCAATTGTCACAATTGGCGACAAAAAAATTTGGTCGTTGAATGTGCTAATTGGCGACCAAAATTATTGGTCGTAGAATGTGACAATTGGCGACTAAGATATTTGGTCGGCAAAAGGCGACTTTTCGCGACCAAAATGTTTTTGCGACAAAATAGATTAGTCGCAGTAATGATATATTTAGCGACCAAAAATTTAGTCGGCAAATCCAACTTTTCCCGACCAACCAAAATTTTGGTCGCGAATTACTTTTGCCGACCCTCAATTGGCGACCAGAGTAGCGACCAAATAAATTGGTCGCGGATAACTTTTGCCGACTAAAATTGGGCTTTTAGCGACCAATTTTTTTGTTGCCAAAAGTGTTAATTCTTGTAGTGCCACTTCCACCTAGCTATAGGCAAGGGTTGTAACAAACCCGTTGACCTCTGATGCTCAGCCTTCACTTGTTGACAAGTAAGGCACACTTTGATACAAACACGGCCACATCCTTTTTCATACCCCTCCACCAAAACTGGCGACTTAGGTCATGATACATCTTTGTGCCTCTCGGATGCACCGCAAAGCGTGAATCGTGAAATTCTCGGAGTACTTTCTCTTGGCAAGACTCCGACACAAAGAGACGATCAAGGTATCTAACACTTGAGTCAGAATACACGTTTAAGCCCTTTTCTACCTTTCCACTGGAAATATTTTCCTGGAGGGTTTCTACCTCAAGATCACCCCTCTGTGCTTCCATCACTCGGTTCACAAGTGTAGGTTGTGTAATTACTGATAACAAGGCTATAAACTCAACAAACTCGCCAAGATGCAAGTCAAACTCCCTAAG